GGGAGAGGGAGAGGGAGAGGGAGAGGGAGAGGGAGAGGGAGAGGGAGGCAGTGAGGGATTTTCCCAGTGCTCAGCACTTCTGGGCAGGCTGGCAGGATTCTGTGTCATGCTGCAATCCTCTCTTCCAGCTACATCCCTGCTGTTGTGGACCACCGTGGAGGCATGCCATGCCATGGGACCTTCCTCCTTCATCAGGTACTCTCTGCCCAAGATGCTGTCCTAGCTGACTCCTGCTGGGACCTGTGTTAACTACTGTCCCTTCTCTCTGGCCTCGTGGGTCTCAGGGCATCCAGAGGAGAATCAGTGTCACCTTGGTGCATGAAACGGGAAGCCTCATCCGCTGGAAGGAAGTACGGGAACTGGTTGTGGGTAAGCCAAGCTCTCAGGAATACTCTCGGACTGTTTCTTGCCCATATTCCCATGTTCCCATGTTCCCGCATGGAGCTTTCTGCCTTGTGTCCCCTCCTGCCCTGCAACAGTAAAGCAGTGGCTGCCTGGTGGGTGACACTGGGACACTGTGGGCACCGTGTCCTGGAGCTGGACCAGGATCTCTGGTGCTGAATGGCCAGAGGGGCTGCAGGCAGGCAGTCTGCCTCTGCCTTCATGGGGACCCTCACAGGGCCACTGCCTGTCACCTCAGAGGCAACTCTGTGCTGTGTTTGCAGGTCGAATCCGGAACACCCCAGAAGCAGACGAGTCACTCATTGACCCCAACATTCTGTCCCTGAACATCCTCTCCTCTGGCTACATCCACCCCTCCCAGGATGACCGGTGCGTGATGCTTTTTTTCTTGCTCTTCCCCTGCTGTGGTGAGGGTTGGAGAGGTTGAGCAGCAGCCCCTCTCTCCCCTGGAAGGCTCTTGGCCCTTCTGCTGACCCCCTGCTGCCTTGAGGAAGGGTTTTTCTGAAGCTGCACGGGGTCTTAGGGTACAGGGCTGCAAACCCCTTCCTCCTCCTCCTCCTCCTCCTTCTCCCCAAGGCCTTGCTGTGCTGGGGAGGGCACTAAAGGGAATTTGTGTGTGGGTCCTGCTCTTTGGTGCTGGCTGTGATGGGCTGGCACAGGGAAGCAGTTGATGCTGGTGCCAGGAGGATGTCCCAACTCCATGGCTAGAGGGGAGGGCTATTTGTCTTGTGTCCCAGCAAAATTGCTGGAAAGGCTACTTGGGACCCATGGCAGATCCCTGTCTGTGTGTAAGTAATGCAGGAAAGCCATCCCCACCCACTGTGGGTGACTTCAGGGATGCCCATCCCTCCCTGCCTATCCCAGGGGGCTGTCATAGAACCACAGACTGGTTTGGGCTGAAAGGGACTTTAAAGATAATCACATTCCAAACCTCCTGCTACGGGCAGGGACACCTTCCACTAGACCAGGTTGTTAAAGGTGTTCCTACTGTAGGTTTGGCAGGGTGTGAAAGAAGCAGGACCAGAAGATTTTTATCTCCAAGATCTCCCCATGTGAGTCCTGCAGTGGCAGGGGGAGCTGTGGGTATGGAGGGCAGAGCTCTCCTCTGCACCAGGGCTACTGGTGGAACTCGGGGGACTGGTGGGGGTCTCTGGCCAGAATGTGTGCATGCAGGCAGCTGTGACAAGACAGGGATGGTCGTTTCCAGCACTGGGAGCAGCAGGACTGGTCCTTGGCTGTGCGTTGTGGTCACTGGTGTAGGAACACCCTGGTGAGGAATGGGGACCACGTTTTCCTTCATCTGCTTTGTGATCATGATTGTCCCAAGGAGGCCTGTCCTAAGGCAGGGTGTTTTTGGGGGAATGATGGGGGTCTGGATAGGATTTGGTTCCCTGAGCACTCTCAGGGCAGCTCCTGGACATGGCAGAGCAACCTGCACAGAGTATGTGGGCAGCAGAGGCGATTCCTGGGGTCAGCACGCGGGCAAGTGTCAAACCAGGAGACTTTGTCACAGCCTTGGGGATAGAAGGAGGCCAGATGGGGATGGTCAGACGAGGAGGGCCCAGCCCAGGGGAGTCATGGTGGTTTTTTTTGCTGGGAGCTGGGTGGCTGTGGCACCCACGGGCTCTTGGGGCTGCGCAGTTTTTTGTGAGCTCCTCATCTGTTTGATTGTCTGGTCCCAGATGCAGCCATATGGGATCTTCAGCATGCCTAAGGTAGCCTGGCAGGAGGGATGTGCCTCCTGCTCTGCCTTGTGCCCTGTGAGTCCTGCAGGACAAGGGGACACGTCGCGGGCTGGGGGCATATTTGGGGTGTGGAGAGAAGCGTGGAGACTGGGGGCCATTTGGGGGCACATGTCACATCTGTCCCACATCTATTCCATGGAGCCTGCCCGTGGTGAGGCAGGGGGAGGAGGGAGTGGCTAGCTGCAATGCCCCCCACTTCCACTCCACATGCAGACATGCACGCTTCACCCTGCAGCTGCGAGGACAGGCAGAAGGAAGGCAGAGAGCAGAGCCGGTGCCCACTTCACCCTCCTCCCAGCCGCTTGCGCTCCCCGCTTTGCTGCCTTGTGCCACGCAGCCTCCATTGCCTGGAGCAGCCCTGGCTTCCCCTCTGCAGCCTCCCCAGCGCCCCGGAGCCACTCAGGAAGAGGCTGGGAGAGTGGTTCAGCTCTCCTCAGCACGCACCCACCCCTGCATCGAGCGCCCAGGGCGGAGGCGCGGGGGGCAGCGCCTGGTGTTCCCCCTCGCTTCCCTCAGCTGCTACCGCCCATCTAAGCCCACACTAACCATGTGATTGTTTTGTGTTTTCGCAGGCAGTTTCTTGATTCGGATATGCCTAGGTATTATTTGTTTCCATTGGTTTTTTTTCCACCCCTCCTTCTTCTCTCCTTTCTTTCTTTCTACCCCCTTGCCTCGGCACGCTCACTCCCGCCAGAGGCAGCACTTGGACATCCAGCCCCTCATTCCTTCACAGCCCCATCCCTCCTCCCTCCTGCGCTGGCACCTCTTGCTCACTCGCCCCCTTTTGCTGTTCGTTTGGGCCACGCTCTGGCTGGCTGCCGCTCCCCCTCGCACGCCTGCGTCTCCATTGCCTGATTTGGGTTTTATTCTTGCTTTTCGACTTCGCTACTCTCCCATCTTTTCTGGCATCTGGCACTGAGTGTGCCAATCCCTCCATTGTCTCCTGCCCCAGCGCCAGCTCAGCCCCTGGTGCTCCTTGGAGTAGCTGCAGGGCTGGTGAGGACAGTGGAAGTTTTGGGGCTTGTCCTGCCCTTTCCTGGGCAGCTGGTGACGATGGCAGCGCTGCAGTTGGTGTGGCAGCAGCTGCCCACTCTGTGCACGGTTGTTTTGTGTGTGTAGGTGTGGCATACGGGCAGCACCTGTGTGTCTGTATGCAGGTGTGACAGTGGCTGCAGATGTGGCACAGACTGTTGTACGCCTGTGTAAAGGGACAATGGCTGTTTGGGGACTCCAGGCTTCAGCTGGGACCTCTGAGTGAGCCTGGCAGATGCGCGAGAGGTACCAGATTTGTGGATGTGCCACCAGCCTCTGGATGGGAGCATCACTGAGGCCTCAGGGACGGGCCCACCACTCTGGTCCATGGCAAAAGAAGAGGGGTGTGTGCCTGGGAGACAAGGGATGGAGTGTCCTGAGTGCTGGCACATAACTTTGTGCCTGAAGGTTGTCCTCCCTACAGCAACTCAAAGCTGGTTGTGCTCAGAGATGTCCGAGGGCAGAGCTGTCCCTGCAGCAGCATTCTGTCCCCTCCCAGGGTGCAGGAAAGTGGATACAGCATTGATCCAACCCCCCCACTTCATGAGAGATGGGTTCACACTGGCGTTGCCCATGGTCTCTCAGCACAGTGATGCTTTCCTTGTGGACCAGGGGATGGCCAAGAAGTCACCTGCTGTGTGAGTGGCAGTGGGATATCTCATCCCCCAGCTGGCACTGTCCCAGGGGACTGCGCTGGTGGGAGCTCCTTGCCCTGGGATGGCGTAAGGGCACAGTTAAGGGCATAGGGAGCACATGTACTTCTTTCCCAGCTGCTGGACCATGAGGAAAGTGGGAGGCAGAGGCTTTTCACCCAGGCTAGTAAGCCTCCGTCTGCCCTCGCTGAGCTCCTTTCGGTTGCCACTGTGGGTTCAGCTAGGCTGGAGCTGCCTTGGCCAGCAGTGCTATTATGTGCGAGTCCCTTCAAGAGGGGCTCTTCTGACCTGTCGTTTTTCTGTGTGTGTACATGTGTGTGTTTGTCCTTGGGTCACCTTCCACTTATAGCATTTCGCTGGGAAATGACACTAGGTATTTCACGCGCACCTGCTCGGTCTGGTCCCTCCTGCTTTTCTCTTTGTCCCCTTTGCCTCCTCCCTTTGCTTTTTGCTCTTTCTCCCTTCCCCTGAGGCTCCTCTTTTCCTCCTCCTCCTTGGGGAGCACTCTTTTCTTAAGCAACCTGTGTCTGCAAAGCAATCCTTCGCCTTGGCTGTGTCTCACGCTGGTGGGGTTATGTATTTTATTCACCTTTTGACGGCGTCACTCTCCCTCTTCTTCTAACATGGGGGAAATTGCAGTCAAGAACCTCTCCCTACTCCCGCTGGCTGCCCTGGCTCTTGTTAAAATTGCTCCTCAGCCACCTGGATGCTGCTTCAGGGACGTGCTGAAGTGTTCTCATTGAGATATGGCTGAACCACAGTTTCCTGAGGATGCTCAGGCAGGAGCCGGGGCCGCAGCAGCTCTGGGCAGTTTTGGGGAGTGGGGGTACCATAAAGCCAAGGATGACCCAGAAGGGAGCCTAGGAGTGGTGCAGAGGGTGAAATGGGGATCCCCATGCTCTATCACCAGAGCCATTTCCTCCTTCCTCGCCCTTGGTTGCTCAACCCAAGGAGGGCAGCTGCCACTCTTGATCTGGGTGAGCTGTGCCGTCCTCTCTGGGATCCTGTATACATGGCTGAGTGGGACCAGGAGTCCCCTGCTCCTTCTCTCAGCCTGGGAGCCATGGAAAACAAGCAAAGGGGCCCAAGGCAGCAGAGTGGGAATGGGGCTGGCAATGAGGGTAGAGCAAGAGCCAGGGGAGACAGCCTGACAGGGGCCAGCCACCAAATCATGGTCCCCAGCCTCTCACTGGGGCCCAGGGCTGGCAGACGGGGGCAGCCCTGGGGAAGGGGACCTGGCTGGTGGGGGGACTGTGTTCCCAGAGGTGGGCTGGCAGCACACCCCCAGTGCTGAGCATCCTCCCTCCTTTCCCTACTGGCCATCATTACCCAAACGGCGACAGCCTCTCCTGGCAGGGACTGGGAGGTGCTGTGCCCCAGGCTGGAGGGTGGGGACTGGCCTGGGTGCACTGGGGGTGGCAACCCCTGCTCTGAATACAAGGGTGGGGCATGAACCCTCCTTTGCCCTCCTTTACCTTCCTAGCCTGCTCTGCCTTGCCTGCACCCCATCTGAGCCTCCCACTCCTCCCGCGGTCCCTCCTCCCCAAAACCCCGGTCCATTGGCCATTTCAAGGGTGCCGTGTCCTCTTCCCACCATGCCTTGTGCCCTTTGCCTTGAGCCTGTGTCCTCTGGAGTGGCTGTCCCCATCTGTCCCCACTGCGCATGCATGTCTGTGTGTCCTTGCAGGCCTGCTGCAGCGCTGTGGGGGGGACAATGACATCTCCTTGCTCATCTGCCAGCAGTTGCAGGGAGGTTGTTTTACTGGCCCTCCTGGGTTTTTTTGGCAGGACTTTCTACCAGTTTGAGGCGGCGTGGGATAGCTCCATGCACAACTCACTGCTGCTCAATCGTGTTACCCCTTACCGGGAGAAGATCTACATCACCCTGTCAGCTTACATCGAGGCAAGGACCTTGGTTGGGGTCACTATACATCAACAAAGTCTGGTATTTCCCCTGCTGTTGGGGTGCAGCCAGCGGAAGCCCTTCCTTAGCTAGTGCTTGTGGGGTGCAGGGTTCAACCTGGTGCTTGGGGGCCATGTGGGACTCTGGGACTGGAACCTGCTGGGCACGGGGGTGGGAGAGACCAGCTGGGCTGCCACCCTGCAGCACCCCTGATGCCTCCCTCTGCCCTACTGCAGATGGAGAACTGCACTCAGCCCGCCGTCATCACCAAAGACTTCTGCATGGTTTTCTACTCCCGGGATGCCAAACTTCCTGCCTCACGCTCCATCCGCAATCTTTTTGGCAGCGGCAGCCTGCGGGCTTCTGAGAGGTACCAGGATGCTCCTGTCGGGGACAGGAGAGCCATCACCTAGGGACTGGAGCTTTTCTAGGGCATCCCAGCAGTCTGGCTAAAAAAAACCTGGGATGTGGGGATGGGGACAAAGCCAGTAATGCTTCATCTCCCTTTGCTCGCAGCAACCGCGTGACAGGAGTCTACGAGCTCAGCCTGTGCCGCGTGGCTGATGCCGGCAGCCCAGGTGGGTGCCACGCCTCTGCCCAGGTATTCAGCTGGGGCACGGGGGCACAGCCAGGCCTTTGGGTTAGGGGCTGTGTGTCTGTCCCCCCAGCGGTGTGTCTGTGCCCACAGGCATGCAGAGAAGGCGCCGGCGCGTGCTGGACACCTCTGTAGCCTATGTCCGGGGAGAGGAGAACCTGGCTGGCTGGCGGCCCCGCAGTGACAGCCTTATCCTTGACCATCAGTGGGAGCTGGAGAAACTCAGCCTTCTGCAAGAAGTGAGAGTCTGGGCTAGAAATGGGCTGAAACAGTGCAATTCACAGCTCCACTGGTGCTGGGGGGATTCCTCATCCTGGATGGCACAGCCGTCTTGGTTGTGGGAGGAGGCAGGGATGGGGCTGTGCTGCCAGTACTCCTGTGCATGGCTGCTAGCCAGGCCCCAGCAGATCCAAAGCTAATGAGTAAATGGGGTTAAGGGGGCCTGGGTGTGGGGGAAAGGGCCACCCTGAGCCTGGGTGCCTCTGCCCAGGTGGAGAAGACAAGACACTACCTGTTACTGCGTGAGAAGCTGGAGACAACCCAGCGCCTGGGCATGGAGACCCTGTCCCCCTGCTCCAGTGAGGATTCCGAGTCCCGAAGCACTTCCTGCATCTCCTCCCCGCTCTCTGCTGATGGGGCACCTGAAGGCCGGACCTCTCCCCCTGAGACCCCCAGCGAGAGGCAGAAGGAGCTGGCTGTCAAGGTAGCATCCTGCAGCAAGCCCAGCTTGCAGGGATGGAGCCAGGAAGTGGCTTCCACAGGGTGGCTGGGGGTTGTGGCGGGCAGAAGCCCAAGAAGAGTGGGTGGGAGGTGGGATGTGCCTCGTGGCCCACTGTCCTCCTCTCTCTGCAGTGCTTGCGCTTGCTCACGCACACCTTCAACAGGGAGTACAGCCACAGCCACGTCTGCATTAGCGCCAGTGAGAGCAAGGTACTGCTGCTGCCCCAGGCTCTGCTGGGCTGTAGGGGGGCCAAGGGGGGATGTGTGGCTGGCAGGGGAATGGCTGGGTGGGGCCAGATGGGCACTATGGCACAAGTCGTGCCTCCTAGGGGTGTCTGCTCCTTCTGCTTGCTCTGGTTTTTCCCAGAATTGGTGGCTCTCGGGACTGTGCCAGGAGAGGACCCTGCCTGCCAGGGGTCTTGCCTCTCCCTGTCTGAGCAGGAGCCTGATCCTTTGCATGTGCCTGGCTTTGAGCAGAAACTTCAGTTCACACCTCTGTTACTCCACAGCTGTCTGAAATGTCCGTGACCTTGATGAGAGACCCTTCCATGCCAGCTCTTGGGGTCACCACTCTCACCCCCTCCTCGACCTGTCCATCACTGGTGGAAGGATGTTACAATGCCATGGAAGTCAGGTAAGAAGCTGGCTGGAAGGTTCTGGTGACATATCCCAAGCAGAGCAGCTATATCACTGGGACACAGTCCTTGTCTATGGATGTTCCCTAGCCATCACTCTTCCTACATTCCATCTTCTCCTCCTTCCCCAGACCCCCCCAGGTTTCCTCCAGGGCAGAGAGCCCCGATCTGGAGCCTGTGGTGGAAGGAGAGCAGAAGAAGTCCCCAGCCCGCCGGCCTGAGGAGGAGAAGGAGCCCCAGCGGTTGCTGGTGCCCGACATCCAGGAGATTCGAGTCAGGTAGGAGCAACTGGGGCAGCCTGCAAGCAGAGCACCTATGGGCAGGGGTGCATGCCCTACCATTGCCACCTCCTCATGGTCTGTATGCCACCCCTTACCTTGATCCCTTCTGCAGTCCCATCGTCTCCAAAAAGGGCTACCTGCACTTCCTGGAGCCTCACACCAACGGATGGGTGAAACGCTTTGTGGTGGTCCGGCGTCCCTACGTCTATATCTACAACTCAGACAAGGATGCAGTCGAAAGGGCCATCCTCAACCTCTCCAAGGCCCAGGTGGAGTACAGTGAGGACCAGCAGGCCATGCTCAAGGTAGGGCACTGGGAGGGAGGAGGGCACAGCCCCACTCCGTACACCCCATTGAGTGAAAGACTAAGCTCTGGCTCTCCCCTCGCAGACCCCGAACACATTTGCGGTGTGCACAGAGCACCGGGGCATCCTGCTGCAGGCGAGCAGTGACAAAGACATGCACGACTGGCTCTACGCTTTCAACCCTCTCCTGGCTGGATCCATAAGGTACCAGGGGCAGCTGGGGGAAGGGGGATGCACAGAAGCCATTGCTGGGGGTGCTGCAGGCTCTCAGGGCTTTCCCTCCCAGGTGTGGGGAGCATCTCTTGTGTAGAGCTGTGCCTGGACAGGCTTTCAGATGGCAAAACTTGGACCGTATTAATTTTGAATTCAGCTCATTCACATTTAAATGTTTCAGTCTAGGGCCAGATTCCAGATGGTACAGAGGTGGTGGTGTGCTGAGCTCAAATGCCTGGTGGCAGGGCCACTGGCCTGTCACTGTTCTTGAGACCATCCCACAGAGTTTTTGAGACTGTTAAGCAGACTTTCCTGTCTGACCATCCAGAAGCCACTCTGGAAGTCACACATGCACCACCTGAGCTGGGACTGAGGCCCCTTCACAGAAGGTGGTTCCAGTGAGCGACAGGGGCCTTGCTTGACTTCCTACACTCACCACACACACTCTCAGACAAGGTTTCTTAACTGGCTCAGTCACAGGTTTCCCATAGCAGAGGCTCAGACATCTCGATCCTTAAAATAATTTAATCATGGTACAATAACAAAATAACAGCTGGAGCTGGGTGCCTCGGAAAAAGGACCCTGAGCAAAAGAAACCCTGGGATCTTACACCCTCTTAGTCTAAGGGCACTCTCTGGGTGTCCTTCACCTGGCTGTGCCGCAGGTCCCTGTTCCCCTTTGTTATGCAAACGACTGGCAGTTCACAGACTCTTGCCTCAGGCTCCCAACCCCCGCAGCTCAAATCGTAGCTGCACACCAAGCTACCTGCACTAAATGTTTTCATTCCTCAACAAACCATCTCACGGGCACCTCAAGTGGCAGAACTAGGGGAATAGGAATAAATGCACATAAATCTGTGTGTTGTGGGTAAAGAGACTTTAATTCTGTATCCGTCCAGTTGTCTGGATTCAAGTATCAGCCTGGAGGTAGGACACTGAACCTGGGAGCCCACACCTCTCCTTGTCCACATCTCTTAACACCTTTTGTCCCTTGTTTTCCAAATCAGATCCAAGCTGTCCAGAAGAAGAACAGCCCAGATGAGAATCTAACCTGAAAAACACCCTCCACCTCATCCGTCTGCCAACAGGATCAAGATAGCTGATTCTGTCTGAAGACTCCCCATGTTAATATCTGATCTTTCACACCATCTGCTGCCCCAGCTCTCTGCTCCATGGAAGGATCTGTCTTGATTCACAGCTTCACAGGGGAAACTCACTTCTGTTTGTAGCTGCAAAAGCCTGGACCCGCCTGGGCAGGATTCCTTGTGCACGTGCCATCTTCTGCCTGTCCCTCCGTGGGTGACCTTCATATCACACCATCTAACGTTCCAAAAAAGGTCCCTATCAGAGGGGAGGGAGTGAGAAGGGTGGTTTTGGCTAAAAGCTGGTCTTTGATCTAGAGAGATGGGAATGCAGTAAAGCTCAGAGCTGGGAGAGCAGGAGGAATTGCCCTCAGGCGAAAGGAAAGTGGTAATTTAGATGTGGGGTTTCCCTAATTTACCGGTGTTTCTGCAAGAGACAGCAGAGTAAGATCAGGTGTCAGTACCTTAAGATTATATTTATAAAGTATTTATTTCTATTTACATCACAAAAATCCCCTAAGTTGAGTCCTGGCCCCCAGCCAATGCCTCCCCCAGGCAGGGGAGAGCCTTGGTGGTGGGCTGGGGTTCCAGAGATGCCTTCCCCGGGACATCCCTGGCTTGTGCCTGGCAGCAGTGCAGCTCTCACCCTCATTCTATGCCCTTCCCCAACTATTTGCTTTGCCTTCCCCTACAGCTTAAACTACTTTTCCCCTGAGCAGTGGCCAGACAGCCCACCATATGTCTTCCCAAAGAAGGCAATTCCTACCTGTCCCATCTACCTCTGGAAGGCAGGAGCCCACAGTTTCAACTGGCCAGGGCACCCACGTCCCTGCAGATGAGTCACTGCACTTTGGAGCTTGGTCCTACTGGAGGGAAAAGGAGAGCTCTGGGTATGGCTCTGTCTGTCACCCCATGCTGGGCTACCCTTTCCAACCAAAAGCACTTGGGCCACCTCCACTATCCCAGCCTGGGACCCCCAGGTGTCTCATCCAAAGGGATTTCCCACTCTTAGGGCAGGATGCCAAGGATCCCAACTCTGCAGGGAGTGTGGAGGTTCAGGCAGAATGGGAAAATTCCCCAGGAGCCACGACTAGGAATGACCATCCCACCCTACAGCATCCTTCTTGCCCTTTCCCCAAAGGGCTTGCACAACCCTTCTTCTCCCAGCAGGATGACAGACTCAAAGCAGATCAAAGGGTGTCAGAGTGGGGATGGGGCTTCTTTTTTCTGTTCTAGCTGGTGTTTTCTCACTCTTCCTCTGCTGCAGAAGTGAGCATCCACCTCCCCCCACCCTGCCTCCATCAGCATGTTAATCTGGGCGCTTCCCACATCGGAGGTGTTTTTGCTGAAAAGACCTTCTCCTCCAGCCATCACTGCTTCCCACCTCCTCCAGCAGCTGCTCTCTCTCTCTCTCTTCTCCCATCTCTCACCCATGGTTAGATGTTTTTGTTCAGGGCTTCCCAAGTGGCCAGCAGCATCTGGCACAGCTCCATGTCAGAAGCTGAGCATCTTCCTCCGTGCATCTCCCAGGCACCCCCAGCTCTGCTGTCTCGTCCAGCACGGCTGCGCCTCCCTGCACTGTCTGTGGGGTGTGTGTGTGTGTATGTGTGTGTGTGTGTGTGTGTGTGTGTGTGTGGGATGTGGTGCTGTCTTCTCGTTATATCGTGTTGTGGGGGGCACGGATAGGCAGGGACGTGGTGGAGGAGTAGAGGCTTGCACTGGCCCCCTTGCTGCTTGTCAGGCACCCTTTAGCTTGGATTTCAGGTGACAGAAAGAGTTTGGGGATTCTTCTTGAGCACATGCTGGTACTGCCTGGCCTCGCCACAGCTCCTTGGGCATCTTACCCCATTACTACAACCCAAATCTGCAGTGGGGCTGCTCCTCTCAGCCCAGCTCCCCTGCCCAGGACAACCTCCCCAGCAAACTGGGCTATTTTCGTCTCTGTGATCCTTTTTAGACCTGGAGGCCAACTTGTGCCCTTTCTGTATGAAGAGATGCCAGCCTGGAGGCACAGAGAGGCTGAGCTGCGGCAACGCAGGGGCCCAGGCTGCAACATCCTGGCTCCCGTGCTCTGAGCAAGGACATCCCAAATTTCAGTGTAAGGGGCTAAGGGTGGAGAAACAGGGAGTACCTGAGGGGAGGCTCTTAAAGAATGGAGGCAGCTTCTGGCAGAGACGGGACCAGTGTCTGTCAGGGACCAGACACAGGTTCGCTAGCCAGGGCTGTGTGGTGCTGCCTGTGCCACAGACAAGACGCAGCCAGCTGAAGGGCATCCTCCAGCCAGAGCCGAACATGCCTGAGGCCAGCAAACCTGCAGAGCAGACGGCTCGGCTGGAGGTCAGAGCCGAGGGAAACAGAGCTGCCCGCTGGACGCGGCACACACGGGCCACTTGCCATCTTTACCAGCAGCGCTCTGACCAGCACCGCGCTCCTCCTCATGGCCCTGGCACCCATCCCCTCGGCAACGAATGCAAACCGGAGGTTCAAGCAAGACTATAAGCCCAACCGGGAGGGAAATTCCACAGGGGAACGGATGGCACGGAAGGCAGGCGAGCATCGGCGGGCAGGCTGGGGCCAGAGAAGGAGGGAGGCCGCACTCCCCGCTCTCCGGTTCCCGCCGGCGCTCCCTGCCGTGTGCCAGGGGGGCAGTACTGCGGGTCCTGGCCGTCCGTGCGCACGTGAGGCTTGTTCGGGTCTGAAATAAATGTCGCATTTAACGCAATTCCCGTGCTCTGACTTTCCTCTCCGGGGCTGGGGGGCGGCGGCAGGGAGGGGAGCGGAGCTGAGGGCGGGCAGCGCCCACCGCCGCTGAGGGGGCGCCCCCTCGCGGGCATGCTCAACCCGGCGGGGGCAAGGGGCGGGGCGACAGCAATGACTGACAGCTCAACTCCACTTGCGATTGGTGGAGAAGACGGGCACGTGTCCTTATGGGCGGGGCCAGCGCAGTCCTTCCGGTGCCGCCGCGGCGCGGGCGCGTTTCCGGCCCTCCGCCGGTGCGGATTGGGCCGGCGCCGGGGCGGGCGGGAGCGAGCGGCGGCGATGGATCTGTTCGGGGACCTGCCCGAGCCCGGCGCCGCCGCGGGTGAGGCCGCGACGCGCTCGGGTCCGCGCCGTCCTTCAGGCCTGCCAGGCCCCGGCCCACGGCCTCGCCTGAAGGGCTGCGGGGCCTGCTGCAGCTCGGCCGTGGGTAGCGTGGCTCCGCGCACTGTCAGGCCGCCGCCATAGGGAGCTTGAGGGGCAGGGGGGAGGGTGAGGGGTCGGGCTAAAAATTGCTGGAGAAATTGCCGGGTTTGGTGGGTTTGGTGGTTTTCTTTTCCTCTGGGACTCGCTCTGTGGCAGTTTATACCGTTCTTTTGCATGTTCTGTATGAGTTGCAGTTCCCTGCGGTTTAGACCAGGTTGGAGCCTTTCCCCTCACTGTGCTGCTGAGGGATGTCAATGCGAGCTTAGTGGATTGCTAGCAGAAATACCCAAAAATCTGTTTTCAAGACAAAAGTTCACCTCGGCCCCGGGCAGGTGGTTATTTTGCTTGTGTAGCAGCTGCTAAAATTACAGATGGAAGTAAGGCTCTCCTGGTTTACCACACCTGTGGTAAAGAGGTGTGCACAGTCCTTTCAGAACAACATCCCCCAGGAGTGCGTGCACTGGTTCCTTACTCTGCCCTGGTGCCTTGCAGGGAAAGGTGCCCAAAAAGGGCCTCTGCTGTTTGATGATCTCCCACAATCCAGCAGTGCTGACTCAGGTATGGGTGCTCTGTTCCTGCCATTAGTTTGGTTTTCTGTGTTTTCTGCATCAGCATCTCTTTCAGATGAAATGTGTGCAAATCCTGTTCTTTGTTAGACAGAAGAAAGACAGTAGGGTTATCAGTGCTGGTATGCAAACCAGCTGCATCCTGTTTGATTTTTTATAACCAGGGTGTTAAAGATGTTCCACATATATTCTGTAAAACATTTCATTAAAATGTTCTCTGGAACAAATGCAAAGCCTGGATGTGCCTGACTAGTAATGGAAGTAGGAATTTGGCTCTCTTTGGTAAACAGACATAACTTCTTCAGCTTAGGAGAGACATAAGCAAAGCATTATTCCCTAAAAAGAGCAAAGGTGTTTAGTTATTTTTGTCTTCTTCTTGTGCTCCAGGAAAAGAAGGCTCTTTGCTCTTTGATGGTCTCCCACCAGCCAGCAGTGGTGACCCAGGTAAGGAGCTGTGTCCCTCATCAACCCTCTCTGGGAAAAGCCCATGATGGAGCCTGTTGTGTTGGACACATAGCAAGATCCCTGGTGATTGTTTCTCCAGTCTAGATATGCTGACACTGGTCACAGCAATCTGTGCCCCAGCTGTTTAATTCAGGATTCTGAATCTTAAAATTAGGCCTGTTACCAGAAGTATATTCCTGTCTTTTGGGGACCCTCGTTCTCTGTATGAAAGCTCCCTGCTTTGGAAGGGAAAGTTCCCTGGTGCAGCCACTGCCCTGGCTTGTTTTCTGCTGTAGACATGGGCTGTGTCCTTATTCCTTGCTGAAAATGGCTTCAAACCCAGCCTGCTGCTCTGGCAAGGCAGCCATGTGCTTTCTGTCACCTGGGAAGGGCTGAGATAATTCACTATACCCATAGGAGCCTAAATCTCCAGAAGGAGAAATCCCTAATTCTGGCATCAGGGTTTGCTTGCTAGCTTTAATTGGTAACCTTCTTCTGAACCCTCTAAGAAATACGCACATTCAGAGTAATAAAGTTAGTTTCTTTGTATTGTTGTGGGCAGAGATCATAGAGGAAAATATTAATAATGTAGAAATGTTCCAGCCTGTAACATTAACTTCCCGAGCAATTAACTGAAAAAAAAAAAAAACAGAAAAACAACAACAAAAAACACACAAAACGAAGCCTGGTAGCTAAGGAATAAAACCTGTGGGTTGTTCAGTAATAACTGTGGTCACTTAATGTTGTGCATGTGTGTGAGCCTGCACTCCTGAGTGTGCTTTGATATAAAAGGACTTGCTGCTGAATTTATGCAAGTAAAACAGTCCTGGAACACTTGAGCCACCTGCATTTTTTCTTTCTTTCAGCCTCCAGTGCTACTAAGCAAGTCTCATCAGCAGAGAGCCAAGAGAAAGGGCAGAAGAGAAAGTCCGAGGAGGAGGAGGAGGAAGAGAAGAATGGCAGGGAAGAACTTGTGGAAAAGAAAGTTTGTAAAGGTTTTCAGACAGTTTGAAAACAAATGTACTCAATTTGTACTTTTGACGTTGGGCTGAGTAAGTCCAGAACAAAGCTAAGCTTTGTTTCTTCAGTCTGTTTGCCTTTTCAGCCTCTTGTAGGAAACAAAGTGCTGCAGGGGTCTGTGGAAGCTCCTCAAGCTTCCTGACTCCATCTTCCTCCTTTACCTGGGCCTTCTTACTGTCCCTGCTGAACCAGCAGGAGCTGAGCAGCAGGCACCTCAGCACTGGCAGGATAAGAGCTTGTGCTGCCAAGAGGGGGATTGAGTTTGGAACCTCTGTAAGACTGGATCCACACCACTTTCTTTTGCCACATCC